GTCCTTGCTTGGGGCAGTGGTCCTTACTCTCCATCCTGCAGACCGTTGGGCTGTGCGGTACTCTGTGGCCTCTAACTGCCCCCTGCCCTGTAGCTGGTCTGGGGGAACCGGGGCTTTTGGGGCTTACCACAGTCTCCAGTGGCCTCTTCCATCCTGCAGCTTGTTGCGGGGGAGGGGGATGTCCTTTGGAGCTCCTCTACAGCCTAATATTTTTGCATTGATTTTCACCTGTTTTTGTTATGGTGTTATTAAACATTGATACATTCCTGGTAAAAATAAAATAAAAACAGAAAATGAAAGGCCGTACTCATGAAATATCTTTCATATCTACTCTATTCCAAATTGCTTTACAGAGTTAAATAATTTAGTAATAAAGTTGAATAATAAATAATACCAGAAGGAGAGAGAAATTAAGAGGAACAAGCAGGGAATAAAAGCATATGTTCAATATCTCATGTATTCAGGAGCTAAGGAATTTGCACTAGAATTTACCCACTGTCAGACACCTACATAGCAGAATCTAACCTCTGTTTTAAATAAAACAAATGTCTAACTTTCATGGTTGCAAAGAAAACCCTTCAAATATGAACTGCTATAATGTTGCATTTCGGATTCTGTGCTGATATCAGAAAATAATAACTTTGATAGGTGTAAACTCTTATTCCTGTCAATGGAATATTAGTTCTTAAATCTAATGGTGTCAGTGTGAGTGCCATATTATTAACAATTTCACTGATGATAGTTTTAGTAAAAATACTCAGACGATCTGCTGATAATCCATTAAGGTGAAAAGATAGTGGGCAGAGAAGGAAGTGTATGTAAATATGGAGAGATTGGAACAGAACAGATCAGAAAAGAAAAAGAAAAAAAGCATATAGTGTGATTTGGTAAGTAGAGGTTGATCTCTTTCTCATTTATGTCAATGACATAATTCTTATTCATTCAAAGGGGAGAGTTAATTTCAGATTTATTTTCAAAGGGATAAAATGCTTAACCCTTTTAAAATAAAAAGTTTGAGTTTTAATATGTTAAATAGACACGGTAAGACAATAATCTGAGAATGTAATATGCAAATATTAGGAACTGATCCAAACCTCACTGAAAGCATGGATTGCACATATTAATTAGGGTGTGTGTGCTCGGGATTTGGACTTGCACATGAATGAAAGTCTAATCCATTTTTTTACAATAGACCCTTTTGCCTCATGTAAATATATCGAATAGATCACTGTAGAGAATAAAAAGAAGTTGAAATGAAACAATGTAAATTAAATATCATTAAAGCATTTTGGCAACTGTTATTTGTAGTCACTTCATTGGTTTTTCAAAGTCTTTTTTTCTTCGCAAACTAGTCCTTATTTGCATATATTCTGTCAATGCAACAAACATTCACAACATGTAGCTTAAAAGCAGAAACAAATATCTGGTGGTCATGCATCTTTAAACTGTATGGTTTGCACTGAAGAGGCCACCCATAACTCCTTCATAAAAATATTCATGTCCTGTGCTCCCCACTTCCCCCCCCCCAGCTGAAAATACATTCGTTTTCTTTGTGGGACAATAAACAAATACTTTGTGGGATAAAACAAATCTGATATAAAATATAATAATGAAGTAGCTAATACTACAGTTCCATTTGCTATTGGATCAGCTCAGTTTTTCAGTGAGAAAAGTCCTCTGTCTGAGGAAAGAATCCCTCCTAATACTATAAGCAAAGAAATCCAATTCTTAATGGCTGTGTCTACACTGGCATGAATTTCCGGAACTGCTTAAAACGGAATACTATTCCGTTTTCAGTTTTTCCGGAAAAGGAGTGTCTACATTGGCAGGCTGCTTTTCCGGAAAAGCCCTTTTTCTGGAAAAGCGTCTGTGGCCAATGTAGACA